TGCAAATCTGTAAGGCTTGGCCAATTAAAACGTATCTTGAATTTCGTTTAAAATTAGCGCGATTTCCGGTTTTTGGGGTTTTGTTGTTGTTTTATTCTTTTAAATATGACTTTTTTGGCTAGCCCAAACACTGCAAATTTTTATTTGCGGAGTTTCCAAGTTACACTAACTTTAAAATTGTCCTAAGTGAACTCAAAGCCTAACAACTTCGTTTGCTGAACGCTTTTTTAAAATCCACTAAAAGGATATTGACTAATCCAAACGTCATTATTATTGTACGAACACAGTGTTAGTGTGTTCGATTTGAGTGGTTACGTAAGCATCATTTACGCAATCGGGACCCGACAATTTGCTTTGATAAGCTCACAAGATCACCGATAAGATTCGTGTTCATGTTTTTATGAATGTTTTAAATAGTCGTGTTTGACACTACTTAATACAATGTTATTGACAATTGCAAAATACATAGCAAAGTTTTCTTTATGCAGAAGATTACTTTACATTTGCCAGCATCTTCCACTGGGTGTACCAAGGTACTGGGAACATGTATCCCAATTTGTTAATCTGAATTCAACCAAAGAAAAAAGTATTACAGGCGAAGAATGCCAATTGTGTTTCGATAATATGACCAGCCTTGACATTGATGTTCTTCAAAGTGAAGATGAAATGTTCAGAGAACTATGTCATTACACTAACTCGAACAATTTACCACTTGGATATGTTCTCATATCTCGCAATAACAAGTGCCGTGTGTGTGGTCSACAACTTAGAGTTAAGAGCCGTGGAAAGGAAGTAGCCAAGGTTGTTGTGTACGACGAGATAAAAGGCACTTTTATGGCATCGCATTACACGAAGTTTTGTAGTGGTGAGAATTGCAGTTTTCGTCAATTTTATGGAAAACACACCCTGACAGGAGCAGACATCCATTTTGACCAGGATTGGAGTGACTACAAATATTTCCTCTCTACTACTGAAACAGCATTTGACATTGCTTTGTTGGAGAGATTTGATACTGAACTGTTAATTGGCCAAATATCTTATCAACAGAAAGCTCGAATTTACAATGCATTGCATGGCTATGACGAACACGATACAAAGTCTAAGAAAACAAGTKCTGAGGAAAGCAAAATGGATCTAAAGAGGTATTGTGCAATATAATTATTCCCATTTGAATTGTGACTGTCCTATAAATAGACCCTTGCCAAATTAGTCAGAGCTATGAACCATGAAACTTACTTAGAAGCTGTGTAGGTTCCATTGAAATCCCATAGAGTTGCAAAATGTATTGYAAATTTTTAGGTTTTGAAAATTTCACATTGCGACTTGCGTTGAAACAAACACTTAAGTTAATTAGCGGCGTCCATTATGAGAAACGTCTCTGTAATACAAAGGAAGAGAAGCAGTAAACAATATATTGTTTGTCAGTCAACAGAAAAAAACAACAACAGAGTCAATTCTCTACGAAAGAAGAAAGCTTGATCGAAGAAGATTGGAAGATGCACATCTGCAGTATGCAGTGCTCAAAGTTGTGAAAGCATATCCAGAGCAACTCCAAATAGAAGATATTTGTCTGAAAGACCTAAATACTKTATTGATCAGAATARCACCAATATTTCACGAAGCGTTTATATCACAGTTTTCAGGTAAGGATTGATGACAGCAATAATAAGTAATAATCTAACAAGACTAAATTAATGAGAAGGGTAATATAACTTATTTTTATCGTAGCATTACGTTTGGAGACTTCCTTAAGAATGTCCAGATACAGTATTGCAATAAAAAAAAACTAAAAACTGCGGTTACTTCTTTTTTTTTAGAACACACATGCGACTATCCTGGATGTAAAACCTGCTTAGTAATAGATGGAAACATGAAGATTTCACGAGAAGTGTGTAAGGCCAAGGATGCTGGGTACATCCATTATAAGGGCATTCAAGGAGCTATACGTACTGGTTGTACGAAATCACCCGCTTTTGAGTCAAGGTACTGTGCTGAACACAGAGATTTTGCTTGTCAGCTTAAAGTTGCCTCTGAAGATGAAGTAGCTTCTGCYGACACTGAAGAGGCACAAGCTGGGCCGATAACCAGAGCCATGGCCAAAGCTAATTGCGACCAAAAAGAAATTTCAGAGGACGGAATAATAGAGCAGATAATGGAGGAAAAACAAACGAGATCGAAGACATATTTCAAGGTTTTTCTGCCCCAGAGTCGAAGCTTTGAGCGTGTGATCAGTTTATATTTAATAATTATCATTGTCATTCGGATAAACAATAGACCTGTGAAGCTTTTACAAACAAACAAAAGGACTAATCCGCCATGTTTTGCTCCCATACACTAAAATGCAATGCCTATCTACACACCTTACGAAACAAATCGAGCTGTTCTTGATTCTTGATGTGCACAAATAATGTTTAATAAAGAAAGATTGCCGAGCTGTTAAGATTACAGCTATTACAATATGTTTACATTATCATTGAAGGTGAAATTTCTGGGAAGAATAGGCTATTCGTGGGAACCGGAGGAAGAAATACCACAACATCTGATAGCTATGTACAGATCAAATGGAGCAAGCATAGACATTGAAATTCAAGAAACCAACTATAATGGGCAGATGTCCACAAGTTTTTATGGCCATAAAACGATTCTAGAAGTAACATCTGAGCCTGCTGCAAAAAAATCAAAATCAAGTACAGACATTCCGAATGAGGGGTAGGATATTGTCATTAAGTGCATTAATACTTTAAGACTGTAACTTAATAATAACATTTATATTCAGATTGCTTGCAAGAGATTCATTCAATATTAAATGTAATACCGAAAAGGACAAGACCAAGAGACAAAGGAAAAACGAAAGGACTGCAGGTATTATCCATTTTTAATAATAAGGCCTTGCATTTGCCTAAAGCCTGAGTTTATATTTCTTTTTCCTTAATATTTACCTATAGGGATACTATGTGGTTTATGGCCATGTGGAGTTTTTGTCACAGTAGCTGAGCTCTATGGATGCGAATCAAACTCGCAAGTTTACGCTATTCTTCACGAGGCACTTAGAACAAATGAAGACAGCTTCAAGTCTCTTGGTATGTATCTGATCTACAGGTTATTTCTTTTGTCAATGAAATAACTGAGTTAATGTTATATAGCGATTTTTATCAAAAGTAAGTGCTGCTGTGTTGTAATTTGCCCTCATAGACACCGTGGAATATCCCTTGTTTTAGTTTTAGTTTCCTTGTTAATGCCTTAGTTGACATTAACTATGGCCTTATTAAACTTTGTGATCTTTTAGAGTACATCGTATATGACGATGGCTGTCATTTGAAAAAATATGCAGAGAATCCTACAAGATGCGACATGTCCAAATATTCAAAGAAAATGAGTGAAGCAAAGATCGTCGTCGATAAAATGCACATGAGGGGTCACGTTGACCCTTGGTGTAAGCAGCATTGCGATTCAAGAAAGATGAAAGAGCTCGACAAGGTAAGTTTGTYATTCATAAAATAATTGCATCAGTGTYAGCTATATGAAACTAGTAGTGCTGGTAGTAACAGAAGAATCAATTGTATTTTCTTCTGTTTTAAGGTTGACACCGAAGTCTGCGAGCAAAGCTTTTCATGGCTTTCCAAGTACAAGAAGATGACGAGGAAAATGAACCAGACGCATTACATGTTCTTTATTTTATACCTACTTTATCTTCATAATCAGAAAGAAGAAAAAAAACTCCTTAACAGCGGTTTTATGAAAAGGTCCAACACTGTTTGCTAATTAAAAAAAAACATTAGGAAATTAGAAATATTGTAGTCATAACGAGTGTAACTGATCCCCAGGAGCCCTACCTCCTTAATTCCTCAAGGAAATAGTTGCTTTAGCTATTATATTTTAGGGCTGGAGTT